ATATGTATGTTTATTTATATGATTAAGGCTTCCATTCCCTAATACTGTTTTAAGTATCACTGTCGGTAAGTGAGCTTTCTTTTACCACACCCGGCTGGAGGTATAAATCTGATACCACGGGGCGTCAAGGCTGTCCTAATGAATAGAGGCTGGCTCCTTATAGGGAGTGTCGTAATAACTGATTGATTGACGAGGATGATTATATTCATTTACTATCATTTCAAGTGAAGGTACAATTTCAGACTGGGTGCAGTGATCCAATGAGAAATAAAAGTATTAATATTCCTCCAAAAAAGGAAGCAGGAAAATATATAAACGATAGCTTTAATTGATGCCGGCAGAATTGTTTGTAGTTTTAATGGACTGGTTATCGGCGCATTAATTATACTGATACGTTAAGAGCATGTAGTCACGTTAAATAACTTTAGATTTCTGCATGTACAAAAAGTCACTCTACCATCGTCAATGCCACACCGTACAAACATCTACAAAAATAGGTGAAATGTTCCGATCTTATTGAAATTTTTAGGGAACAAGTCTTATTACTCAATAATACAAAAGTGAAAAGTGCCAAGTAAATAGTTTGTCTATATTTTACAATTATATAATAAAATTATTCATTTTGCTGCAAAAAAGGAAGCTGGAAAATATAATAAATGTTAAAGTGCGGCGTACCATAAAAAAGGTTGTGAAACACTTGTCTAAAGTATGGCGATATTGTATCTATTGCATATTTTTAGGCTCAAATTTTAAAATGTTAATTTTTAATATCCATGGAAAATAATTGTTTGCATGAGAAATATTATTAACCCTCTAGTTCCCATTTTTTTTGTTTTTGAAAAAATTGCTGCTCATAGTTTTAAAGTGAATAAGTAATATTTCTTCAACAAAAAGGGTCGTAAATAAAGATAATTAAATTCAGCATCATTTTTTTAACATTTAAGTCGCTTATTTTATGATTGTAATAATTAATGATTTTTAAATCATTTTTTGAAGCTGAAGTGTTAGTTCTTAATAGAAAAATATTTTTTTTCTAATATATTATCACAGTAATAAATAAATTCAAAAAAAGGAAATTTAATTGATATATGGTAGTGCGCGCTGGAGTTATTTCGTAATCACGTACTTTGTTTCAAAAATCAAGATTACAAGCCAACGTCCCTTTAACAAAATGTATATAATTGATATGAAAATTATATATATTTGAATTAACTTCCCAATCATATATAATTTACTATTTGCAAATTAAAATTTTTTAATGTTAAAATTTTTTAATTTTCGTGCATTGTCGTAATACTGTGCGATTTAGCTTTTAGTCTAATTTTTTTTTACTTTAATAAAATGAATTTTTCATTTTTTACTCTATTCATCTTTTTAGTAATATTAAATATAAATTATTTTAAAACAATATATTTTATGCTGTTTTAAAAATTTAAATTAAACAATAACTTTATATATTTTTATAGTATTTTATTTAAAATTAGTTTATTTATTACACTTAAATTCTGTTTGCCAAATTATAATTGTTAATTTAATTTTAAATATTATTTTTTATTAATATATTCATCATTAATTTATGTACAAAAATTTATCAACTACTCTAAACAATTTTATTATTTAATTAAATTTAACATTATATATTATATCTATGCATATATATATGTAAATTATATATGTATATATTGTAATATTATATGATACGAGTTATATCGTGTTTATACATATAAATATTAAATTAACAAAAATTGAATGATTCCTGTGATATTACACTTCGTTTTAAAAAGTTTTTATTTTTATTTTTACTATAAAATTCATTGTTCGTTTTATTTGTTGAAATTGTTAAGGTTTAAAACTATATAAAAAATTAAATTTATTTTAATAACTGCAACTTTTCTTGTTTTGTGGTTCCATTTGAGTATGTGTTGTTTATATATAATTTTGTATATATATATAAATATATGTATATGTTTTATTAGGGTAGGACTTTTTGATAGTAAGTGCTTGTTTTCATATTTATGGCAAACTATGTATTTTTTGTATGTGGACATTAACTACATGCAAACTTTTTTTATGCTTTAGTTATAAATTTAATATGTAAATAATATATGTAACAAATTGTAAAATTTTTAAATCTTAAAGAAATGATACAACAAATTTTTAAACATTTTTTGTTTTAATATTTTTTTTTTGTTTTTTTTTTATTTTACAAAATCGTAAACAAATTTTAAGCTTTGGTTTTAGCATTTTTATATTTTATATTAACTAAAAAACAATTTTTATTTATTTAAAAAATGAACTTAATAGCGAGCATTTCTTATATGCTAGTATAAAATCGTTTAAGTATTTTTATTTGCTTATATAAAAATGAAAAAATACTTATAAATTTGTGAAAAGTTTTATTAAGGAAACCTTTGTGATAGTACCAGTATTGAGTTATTGTTGATACACACATTAAATATTTTATACTAAATAAAAATAATACTAAAAATAATGCATGAATTGTTTTTTAAAGATCTTAAAAATAAAATTTAACAAATATTTTTATTTAGTACATATTTGTTAATTTAATAATTTATAAGTCATAAGTCATATTTTATGAAAAAATTAAAATTTATTTGAAAGTAAATTAACATTAGGCTTCTTTTAACATAAGTTATTTTGAAATACTCGTATTTTAAAAATATTTTTGAAATGAAGGCAGTCTGCCACATCTCAGTGAATCAGTAATATGATAATATGATAAAGTAGTGCATTACTGAGGAATAGATTTGTTACGACAAAATAATTTTAAAATGATCGGTTTCTAAGTTTAAAAGAAAAGTTTCTGAATATTTTTAAATAATATATATTGAATTGGAAATACAAACTTAATTTTTATATTTACATATAATTAGCACCTCATTTTTGCACATATATTATTAGAAAGCAATTCAGAAATATAGTTTAAATAATTATAACATACTTTTAATTAATTATTATTTTAAAAAAAAAAGTCATTAAGAAAATGTGATTACAGCGAATTGAAATTGGAAATATTTATTAAAGTATTACTAAAGTTAGTGAAAAATTTCCGATCTAACGTGTAATTATCATATGTTTGATGAAATTAATAATAATAAATTAGGATATAAATAGAAATTATGATTGCAAAATATTTAAATAATATAAAATCTTTTTTATGACTTTTACATAAATGTTTTTTGGAACAAATTGTACATAAAATAATTAAATTTATCATACGAGTATATAAATGAAGATTACTGCTAAAATACAGAAATTTAGAAACTTTAATTGAAATTTAAAAATTTGTTTAATTATAAATAATTATAATATTTAAGATGAAAGTGAAATTAAAATAAAAGTAGTTTATTGAAAAGTTTTAATTTGCAAAATAATACCTCAGAGAGATATCAATGAATTAATAATAAATATAAAAAACTAGTTAAATGAGTTTTAATGAAATAAAGATATTTATCTAATAGGATTCATATATATGCATATAAAAATTTAAAATGTATAAAATTATGAGTATAGTGTGGAAAATTCAATGAAATTTAGTTGTTTTTTTAAATATTACTTAACAGGAGAAGGAAATTTAATTTTGCATAAGTATAAGCAATAGCAATATGAAAATATGCATAAACTGAAAAATATGATATATAATACATATACACCAGCAGATGACTATATAAGTCATTGTTGTAAGTTCAAAGATAAAATGATTGTTAAATAGTAAAATTATAATGCACTTAATAAAAAGAACTACTACTTCTGTATATATTAAATCATATTTAAAAATAGTTATACATAGAGAATATACTTTAAATACATTATTTTTATAAGGCAGTTATAAGATAGAAAAATTTAAAAATTTTTCATTAATTTATGCATCGGGTTTGTAATTTTATATAAATTTATAATGAATTTGGTATTGAAAAATTTTACAACAATTTTTTTAATGAAATAATGTCAAAAGTAGTATTACCTTGCTTTCAAGGAACAATTCTTTACTGCCATATATAACTTTACATTAGTTTAAATTTATAAAACCAATCTCATCGTCATTTCAATTCTATTATGGTGTGCCATGTTAAATGAATTTAATGGTATCTTTTATAAATTAATGCTTATATGATCAAAAATGAGTTATAGTTACTTATTTATTTATAAAACAATGTGGAAAAAATATGACTTTTATTTAAAAATAAACAATTTAATTTTATACTTATAAATTTGGCATTTAAAGTAAGCCTAAATTTTGTTTAATTAGCGCATTATAAGCAGTGCATATTTATGAAATTTGTACAACGAATTTAGAATTTATATTGACTTTTATTTCATTTTAATAGCCTCAAATATAACAAATACGATATTGAAATATTACGTCAAAAATTGTGTAGTTATATACTTTGTATATACAATTTAGTATGCAAAATTTAAAGTGCGCAACGTTTTGCGTTTTATAAGTAAATATATGTTTTGTAGGAAGGTTATACATATACCACGTAAAATTTCAATTTAATATTACTTAAGTGACTAAAAAGTTACTATACAATAAGAAGAAAAAAACCATAAAGAGTAATAAGACTATTCGATTATAAGTTAACTCAAAAATTCATGTACATAATATATTTAGAAATAATGTATGGAAAAAATATATACGTCAGTTTTTAAATGACGATTAGATCTTAAACTTAAATTGAATCATAACATTTTTAATAATATTTATAATGAAAAGATTTTATAAATGCTCATTTTTTTTACAGCATATATTTAATTGAAGTGAATTTGCCATAAACTTAATTTTACATGTATAGTTTTTTATGTATTTACGAACGATATACTATTAATGTTATTTCTTATATAAATTAGAAAATATTTAGTTATCTTATCATATGTAAAATAATACATATATATATATATATTTATATATATATATATAAAGATTCATATATTAAAAGTATATATGTATATATGTATGTGTATAACCTACTAAATTTATTTGTTGTAATGCAAAGTTTAGCTTCAGTTTTTAATTTAGCAGCACATAATTTCACTTAATTTTTCTACTTCACTTGTAATGTAAAAATTGTCACTTCCTATAATTTCAACTAATTTACGTACTTATATATTAGACTTTTTTTCATTGATTTTGTTTTACTTCCTACATCATTATTTCTTTGTTATTAAATTCATTTATAAATAATAATTAAATAAATGTAGTCTTAAATTATAGTGTGTATATCGCACTGGCAATTTTATTTAGTCCTGCACCTCTCGATAGGGTACTTCAGACGTCACCGAAAACGATTCAAAATAATGATTCAAGAATTCAAATGTTGGTCGTTTCTCTGGTACAGCATCCCAGCATTGTAATAGTAAATGATATATATTATCGGGGAAGTAATGATTTGTCGGTTTTGGCATACGGAATCCACGTTCTATATTTTCTATAACTTCACGACTATGCATGCCAGGGTATGGCACTTGTCCATATGTGAAAAGTTCCATTAATAGTATACCATATGACCAAACATCGGATTTAATGGAAAATTTACCATATATTATGGCTTCTGGAGCAGTCCATTTAACAGGAAAACGTGAACCTTGTTTAGGACAATACTCATCATCGGCAATAACGCGTGCTAAACCGAAATCACAAATTTTGGCTACATTATTTTCACCGATAAGCACATTTCTTGCTGCCAAATCGCGATGTATTAACTGTTTGGATTCTAAATATTCCATACCAGATGCTACTTGTGTTGCTATATAGATGAGATCCTCAAAGTGTAAGTAACGACCATCGCCTTCACGTAAAAAGTCCAATAAGCTGCCTTTAGACATATATTCTTGTACAATGTAGATAGGCTCCTCCTGTCAAAGTATATTAAAATTAATTTTATTATAAATTTTAATTTAAAAATTAAATTGAGGAAAATAATAATGGCACTACATTAAATTTGAAATGAGAGTGATTAAAATGTTAGGTTCATTGGTAACTGAATAGATTGTGTTCAACTGATCATAAAATATAATCATCCCAACACGTTTTTTGTAGAACGGTTTTTTGTATTGATTATCATAAGCCTATAAGTACTAAAAATTAATAATTTCATTGTTCATTTAATATAATAAAGTGAAAATGAAAACTTTTAATGTTAAAAGGGTTCGAATAAAAATGAAAAGACAACAGTAAAAATTTTAGTTGATTAATTGAAATTTGGCAGACCATACAACGCAGCTTCAAGTATTGTTAAGTACTTATCATCAGTAATCTTAGGAAATATTCGAATTATTTAGATAGTTTATAATACATATACAACATAACTTTTTTGTTGAATGTTGACATTTCCATTACTTCTGTGACATACAATATATATTAATTAAAGTGGTTTAATCTAGATTATATATTGCTAACAATATAACTAAACCATGCTGATTTGAGTCCTATTTGATAAGGGCTTCTACTGACACATTCAGTTACCTTTCTTGCGTAATTCTGTAATTTCACGAGTAATTATAATTTCTAAATTGATTCATTATTTATTATTCTTAATCTAAATATATTCAAAAAATCATGATAAATACAATATAAAATTACTGAACTATGTCAATTACAAAATTGGTCTGTCTAAAGAGATAGTTTGTCGACTCTGCTTAGAAGCAGATGAGACTTCCAGTCACATTTTCTGTGATTGCCAAACCTTGATCTGAGCCAGGAGGAGGTCACTGGGTCGAGAACTACTATTCTCTTCTGGCATTAGGAGGTCAGCAGGTCATTCGGAAGGCGGAATGTCTTCTGTTCGGTTAGGGTCTGTTGCAGCACAAAAGATCAACCATGGTCGCAAATGCTCCGCTCCGTTGGAGCTGGTACCCTGTTTATTTCTCTATTCTATTCTATTCTATTCTATTGTATTCTATTCCATTTTATTATATTCTATTCTTTCTATTCTATTCTATTCTATTCTATTGTATTCTATTCCATTTTATTCTATTCTATTCTATTCTTTCTATTCTATTCTATTCTATTCTATTCTATTCTATTCTATTCTATTGTATTGTATTCTATTCCATTTTATTCTATTCTATTCTTTCTATTCTATTCTATTCTATTGTATTCTATTCCATTTTATTTTATTCTATTCTTTCTATTCTATTCTATTCTATTCTATTCTATTCTATTCTATTCTATTCTATTCTATTCTATTCTATTCTATTCTATTGTATTCTATTCCATTTTATTCTATTCTATTCTATTCTATTGTATTCTATTCCATTTTATTCTTTCTATTCTATTCTATTCTATTCATAATTAATTTAGTATATTAAGTTAACATATAATCCCATAATGTAAATGAGGGTAAAAATTAACAATTAATGTTCTTTTTTTTAATTATTTTTTATTACAAAATATGCTGACCTGTGAGCAAACTGCATATAATGCAACCAAGCGATTGTGTCGGAATTTTTTCATTATAGCAGCTTCTTGCAAGAATGCTTGTGTTGACATAGTTCCCTCACGTAGGGTTTTTACAGCCACATCAATGTTATTGCGCCATTTACCATAGTAAACCTCACCAAAGTTGCCACGTCCCAATTTTCGAATTAACTGAATTTCTGAACGTGGTATTTCATATTTGTCGCGCAACTCTGGACCAAGATCCCACATTTGTGGTTGTGGTTTCGGGCAGGGACGTGAAAGTATGTGACAAAGACCAAGTGCATTTTCTGAAAAAGCATAAATTAGTACAATATTCAAAAACAAAAATATTAAAAATAAAATGAAGAATAGAAAACAAGTAAAAGAACTTGCACATAAGTTTTAACAAAAACTTTTGAAAATTTCTTTACCCATATGTCAAGCAAATCACTTTAAGCCTTTCACGACAATATAAAAGCAAATTTAACCTTAAACTTTTAAACTTTTGTACAAGATATCAAAGTAAAAAAATTAAACAATAAAAAAAGATATAACAGATAAGAGCCAAAATATTAAATTTAAATTAAATGTGCGTCAGTACTTACTGCTGTAGGCCATCACCAAGGCCTGTAGAGAGGGGAAAGTCTGATTGGTTGCAATGTAGTAACCACCATTGTCGAGTGGCTTGATGCGATAATGTTTTACATGATAACCGCGCCCGTCTTCCCAATCCTTTACTGACAACGAATAACCATTTGGATTATGCTCAGAGGGTCGCACCAAAAATGTGCCGCGTGGATTTTCTTCAGCCAGCAAAAGTTTGTCTGCCTCTTTGCGTAGTACATTTTCGAAAAACCAGCTTAATTAGTAGAAAACAAATTGAAAATTATTTACATAAAAATAATAATAATGAAAAAAAAATTTTTTTGAATGCTAATGACATTTACGTTAGTACTTACTCTTCACTGTTGACACTGCGTTCCTCAGCAACAAAATTTAATGGTATTAAGCCCTCCTGACGTGTACTTAAGTTAACGACACGCCACCAATCGGATTCAGTGTCATCGATAACTTCCATGCGATCTCCTTTCATAAAACTCAAATCAGATTCATCACGCGACTTGTAATCATACAAAGCAACAACTACACGACGTTTTGGTAGACCGCCTTGTACACCACCGGCTGTAAAGGAAATTACATGGAAATTATTTTCAAATTATATTTGGCAGACGACGCTTAACTACAAATAATATAATGATAAAACGGTTAAATGAAATAATTTACAGCATGTTTTTAGGCGCGGAAGGTAAAATATTACTTTACTCTGCAGTGTAGTTAGTGTCGCAAGAGGCAAAACTTTTAAAATTGATAGTGTGAGTAAAATATTCTCATAATAATGGAATTCCATTCCACTACCTTAACTGTTGGTAGGGAAAATAATTTCCCGAAAATATAATCATCAACACTTAAATAATTATAACATATTTCATTTAAAATCAGTTGGGAAAATATGTTAGTTTTGGCGCCGAAAATTGTTAACAATGAAATATTTGCATTTAATTAATAAGAAATAGTTAATTAGGCTAATAGGCCTTAATATAGTAAGGTTTCATTAAGTTTTTCGTTGTTTATAACGCGTGTAATTATACAATTAACGCATTTTATAACATTGAATATAGTAGCATACGCCTAGGCGCCAACAATATATTTAATCAGTATCGAGAATTTATGACTTTATAACTTAATTGGCTAAAATGGATGAAAAGTGCAATGGAAATTTCCGAGAAAACCTACATATTTCCACAGAAATCTGTAGTTGTAGTTGTACTTCAAAAGGCCCTGCACAATTGCCAAATTGGACTTTTAGTAGGTTGCTTTGCAAATTTTACTTGTAATTTATTTTTGCTTTGTTGCCAATGTTAAAAGCAATTTGCAAATTAATTTAAGCTAAAAAAAACTGGGGAAATATAAAAACAAAGAGTTTTTTGGGCAATAAAAAAAAACAGAAATTGAAAGAAAAATAAGGAAAGAGGGTCAAAACTTCACGTTGTTTTCATTGAGCTCTCCTTTCCCCCCCTACAAAAACAATTCACTATTCTGGTCAGCCGTGCAATAAACAAGCTTTGGTTTACTTTTAGCCTTAAAAAACTGACACTAAGCAATTTTCTAAGTTCGTTAAAAAATTCGCACACAAAAAATCCCTTAAATAATTATGCGAAAAGCATTTCAGGGTTTTGTCTATCTATTAGTGGGTCTGAAAATATAGAGAAATGCAACAAAAATGCACATTAAAGACACAAATCAGTGCGCCATTCATTGCATTCATTCATATTAATGCTGAAATATCCGTACTTGGATGGACTTTGAGGGCTTTGCAGTTCATAATCTACTTTTAGCTTTTGTGTACGCGGACATTTGTTGGAAGAACGTCCATAGAAATCAGAATGGTTACAATGAAATTGCAGCTTATCATTTTTTGGTGTACAATGCATTTGGTGTATGAAAGCATTAACATTGATATTCAGATTAGCAGTTTCCGATTTCACTTCGCATAAACCTCTTTATATTATAAACGAACTTTATAAACTGATTAACGTAAACCAAAATATGACAAGGGTAAATAAGAAAAAGATTTAATTAAACTATATAAAGATAAAATTTTTAATAAGTAATGATTAATTAATTGGTTTTTATCATACTTATAATTAATGAAAAAAAATATTATTGATTTAAATTTTTAAGTTGAGAGTACTCTCACTGACATCTGTGTCAAATGTCATGACTGTATCTGCATTTATTCAATAGTTATATACGTGTTTTGTAAACAAAAAGATAATTGAGCTCATTTACAATGCCGATTTTACAATGACTGTAAAGAAGATGCTTTAAGTTTATTTATTTATTTAGTTGTGAGTTAACATTAAAATTAATTTTAACGTTAACTAAGAATAAGGGACTGCACTACTAGGTCCTTCGTCCTGATACTTTAAGACGTTGAGAACGTTGTAGAAAGCCTTCGGTAACCAGGCTATACCACAAAAAAATTACAAGTGGTATAAACATATCTAAAAAGTCAGAGAAAGCGTTGAAGGCAAAAATTGTTTTGGACAATCATCAACATCAACTGATGAACAACACGTCAAGGTGCTGATTGATAGATTGATCACTGATTGATAGATAGAGACCTCGTTGACACTGTTAACATTTCATTTGTATCAATCTAGGCCATTTCGAAAGATATTTTATATCTGAAAAGTGTAAAATCTTCTCTGATGCTAAAAACACTAATTATTTTTGGACATGACAAATCATAATGGTTTGTGATTATCAGGATAAGATGAAGTGCATGATAACTGGAGATGAGACTTGGATTTATGGGAACAACCCGAAAACATTCGACCAATAGATTAAGTACCGTGCAAAAGGAAAGGTAAAGGTTTGTCTTGATTACGCGGTGTTCATAAGAAGTACTATTTGAGCGTTTATCTAAAGCTATATGAGACAACGTCGCCAAAATTTCAAATCATACCGTTGCCCAAATATCGTATTTGCCTAACTTAGCAACGTGTAAATTTTGGCTATTCCTAAGATCAAGAAACCTATTAGAAATTAATAGGTTAGGTTGGAATAGCGGTCTTGTATACTAAGAAACTCCACTTGAGCACAAATAATGGCTCGGTACCAGAGGAATAACGTTGGTTTGTACATAGACTAGAAGGTCAGTATACGCTCAATGCCAAAAAGGTAATGACTAAGGTAAAGGTAAACCAACAATTCTATCAATATGACTAGTCTCTAATATTGCAGAAGGACAGCTAAAAAAATCGGTAAGAAAAGGGACACCCAAGATTTTTGATCTTCTCCTAGCTAAAGATGGGCATTCACACATACGATGAAACTAAGTTTCCTCCTCGTTCTCAGTGCCACAACCGCGACAAAGGTCATTATAGAGAAGACCTAGTCATCCTATTATGCAGTGGCTTGTTAACAGCGATACCGTAGTGTTGACCAGAGGTTAATATTTTCTGAAATTATACGGTTGTAAAAATATTATATCGCTATTTTGTGAAATATTTTATATCGAATGTTGAAGAGCTACTCTTAATGGTCTGTAGAAAATATTACTTTGTATGGGAGCTACCATTAATTATTATTCTGAAAATTGGTAATTATGCCAAATAATTTTTGGAAAGCTAACGATAAATGATATTAACGAGCTTCAAATGTTGACTTGATCTTATTGGATTTTGTCCTTGAAAAAGAACCGATGCTGTAACCGTATTAAAGTGTAAAAGGGCTAATTTTACGTATAAGGGTGAGTCGTCAGATAACCATTCAAATGTAGTTCATTAATATTGTAAGACTAATATTGAAAATGGATTATACCTTTCGGTCCAGCTATTTTTTCTTTATGGTTTTTAGATAACTGGTTTATATATTCTAGATTAATATAAATGTAACTTTTCTAATTTCGTATATATATTTTATGCCTCAACATGCTACTATATATATATGTTATATTATATTTAAACATTATACTTATATAAAATAGCAGTAGGGTAACTGGAAATATATGAACGATTAGTATTGATTATATATGATAACTTTACCGAATTTTTCAAAAAAAAAAATGAACTCGCATAGTTGTATAGTATTTTTTAAGTGATTCCCAAATATGATATCATATTTGTTATACATTTCTGTGACTAATAAAAAAAATAAAAAAAAAATAGAATAAATAATTCCACCTATGCGGACAGGCAATGTCAATACTTATAATAATTATTTTAATTTCATTTATATAAAGTATGAATGCTTACTTGGCGTGGTACGTGGACGTATTATGTCGACGCCGCCTTTGGCGCCAATTTTTAACGGCCCACGATTCGGATCCGGTGTGTAGCGTGAGTCAAGGGAACCACCATTATTGTGTTTTTGTCCACTGTTGTTGATGTGTGTCTGACCGAAAGTGTAGTCGGATTTTTTATAACCGGTTGGATAGGCGAGGGCAAGCTCTTGATCCTGACGCTTACTGCAGCATTTGTTACCCATTTTATTCTAGTTCCGTTCGGTTGAATCGGTTCGAGTGCTTATTTGTATTTGCGTTGAATTAAACAACAGTTGCTGCTGCTTGCGTGTACTTTTTTGTAATTTTTTTATTTATTTTAATATTTTTAATTCACTTTATTGTTGTTTTCTATATGTAATTTTATTATTAATAAGGAAAACCCAGTGCAATTTATTACTATGAAACTTTTTTCCGTGTTGATAGCAAAATGTATATTCACATATATTTTTTATTTAATTTTTATTTGTATTTAATTTTTTTTAATTATAGGTTTTGGCATATTACATTTGTTAAAAAATCTAATAAGTATTAAATTAATTTATTTAAAATGGAATTGTTTTTGATTTGGAGATCATTATCATATAAATACACGTTAATAAAGAGTTTTCTATTTATTTTACAAATAAAAAAACTTAATTTTTTTTTGTCTTTTAATATATTTTAATTATCTATCAGTCAAGCTTTTTATGTATTATTTTTTAAAAAATATAAATGGAGGGTTTTTTAGTGGATATTAAAAGTTAAAAAATTGAAAAATTTGAGACCAGGAATGATAGAAACTTTTAACTTTTTATTAATAATAGTGGTTCATATAGTTTAAAAAATTTTATATTAACAAAAAAAATTTTTTGTGATGATTATCCTTTGCTGTGTGGTATGATGTATCTCTCTGTGTTTTTTTTTTGTTTCTTTTATATATATGTGATGTTTTCAGTTTTGTGTTTATATTTAAAATTAAGTCTATGCAAATAAAGCAGTCACGTGACTTTCGTAGTTTTTTGCATAATTGTGTTGTTCATTTTTGATATCGGTTTCATTGCTGTTGTATCCTTTCTGCTATTTTTACTTTAATTTGGTAGAAAAGTTGTACTGCTGTAATCTGAAATAACAATAAAAATTTAAAAAAAAATTATTAAATTGGCATATTGAAAACTTTTGGCAGTGAAAATACAAAATTTTAACAAAATAAAATATATTTTATTATCATATTTATTTTATTTGCGAATTGTTAAACTGAGCCAAAAATATTTTTAATCCTCTTGGCTGTGCACAGTAACATTTTTATCATATTAAAAACTTGAAAAAAATTGGTGAATCTCTATAAAAAAGTTACCAATGTAAATATATACATATATGTATATATGTTTTTCTTACATTTTCCTAATTATTATATAAAATATAGGCATGAGTTGTGTTAATTATCAAACATTTTAGCAAAGGAAATTTGTAGAAAAGATTGCACTAATTAACACATCTTATAATTGAAAAAAAGATTAGGATTCCAGAAAAAAGATACAAACATAAATAACATAACGCAAATCCTTTTATAATTCAACTAGGCAAGAGTAAATGTAAAAGCCTTTGATGAAATGGGTGATATGCACAGGTTTAATAAACTTCACGAAATAAAAAAGGATGGTTTAAGTTTAATTTACTTTTAAACATAATCTTAAAATAAAATTTAATTTAACCGGGCTTAAGGTTTAAGGTCGGTTATTTAGCAACTCAAATTTTTAATAAGTAACACTTACTAAGTTATGTCAGACAATCTACAGTATATTTTTTTTAATCTTGGTTTTAAGTAATTAATGCATAATAATTCATAATTAATGCAAATTGTTTTAAAATCGGAATAAAATCTATACTTCTATCTATACAAAATTATTACAGTTAAATAATGTCTTGATTGAAGTCTTGAAATTATATGTGTTTAAGATTGTTTATGAGGATTTTCGTGTCCTTTATATTAGATGTTTCAATAACTTGTGCCATCTCTACGTCATAGATTTCGATACCTGAATCAGATTTAATAAGAATAAAAACAAAACTCTTTTTCGATCCGACTATTAATTTAATATTTATATGTTTTTAAAAATAGAAATATTTGAATCAATTTAAAAAGGATTTTTTTAACTAACTGATGAGGATTCGTTCCTCCCTCCACAGCAACTAACTAACTATAGAAATATTAAAATGTTGAAGAGGCGTAGAAATTCAATATGATTGAATGTATTAGGTCAGTCTGCCTCTTCCAATATAAAAGGGTTTTACAAACCTTGAAGACGATCAGCGTTAAGGACAACCAAAAAGTCCAGAATATGGTTTAGGAAAAAAGTCGATTGACAGAGAGAGAATAACTAGAAGCTCTTAGCTCTTCATAAGGTACAGTAAGCAATATTTTATATAAAGTTTATAGATCCATAAAATTGTTGCATCCACAATATCTGCTGCTATCTCCGCTAGCAACACAAAAAAACGCATACGAATATGACTCTTTTCGCAACATCTAGATTGTGTATGATTTCATTATTATGGATAAGGTTTGTGTGTATTAAAACACTTACTGAGTCAAAACAAAAGGCTGTTGAGTGGTATGAAACCGATTCTTCGTCTTCAAAACGACTTTTCCTACAGAAATCAAACAAGCAAGTTATTACAAAAAGCCTAGATAATTTTTACAACCTTCCAGATCAATTGGATTAAGAAATTCATAAAAACAAAACCGTTGTACAGAAGAAACAAATATGTTTTATCAAATATGTTCTACCTTCAATACAATTAAGAAAACTGTGCCACTAAAATCAACAGATTAAAGTACAATTGTGGTAATTAAAGTAACAGTCTATTCACTAAATTAAAATACTTCTCAATTTAGTCTCTATTCACACCTCAAAAAACGGAATAGCTCTTCTGGATCTTGTTTAATCAAACATAGCCCTAGTGAAAAGTGGTATTCTGCAGACCTTTCGAAAAACTACAAGAGTGATTGGTAATAAATTCGAGGATCGTTGAAATTGATTGGTGTTGTATTGAATCATTTTGACAACTAAAAATCCGTTTTTTATTTTCGTTCCGTGAACTTAAATAAATAAAAGTGTAGTCCGAATTTTTAATTTATAAAAAAATTATTTTTAAATTGTATTTTAACGTCAGTTATGACAGTAGTGAGTGTCTTATTAAATATAAACTATTGTATTTAATTAGAAATTTTTCGAAAAGTAGTGAACTGATGATGGGTATTTGGCAATACTTGAAACAGCAGTATGGTTAGCGAAAAATTCAATTGATTAAAATAATATAAAAAAATGTTGTGCTGTTATAGTTCACTACTTTTTAAAACCTCTCAAAAAAAAATTTATTAAATATATATTTCGGAATAAGTAATTTGAAGAAAATGAAAAATTTTTTTATGTATTTTAAAGTAATTTTAAATACTATCAGAAGAAATTTTTTCATATCAATGCTAAAGCTTTTACCAACATTCTTTTAAAATGATGTGTTTTAAAACAATATTTTCAAGTTATTTAAAGCGTTCAATAATTTATTAATTAAATAATTGCATAATTATTGTATCAATAATTTCATATATGTAATTAATAAATTTATAAAACCGCTAATGCACCACACATATCTTTTATTTACTGAATACAGGAATTCAGAGCAATATTTAAATGGTTGTATTTTAATCAAAATTCCATAAATTCGCACGCATAAATGTGCAAATTATTTCATAATTACATATATCCTAGACAGTGAATATTGCATTCATATTCATCCAAGGAAAAAACTTTTAATTAGTGACCACTAAAATGGACAATAAATTATATGAATACCTTTTCTAGTGGAAAGTGAACACGTCCACCGTCTATGTAGTTAAATTGCCTGCATCAATTTTTGTTTGCGAATCGCTGACGGACACATTTTCATGAAAAATTAAATTGTAATTTTCATGTTTTGGTTTATTTTGTGGAAAATACATGCCAAGCTGTATGAAAAACCCCGTACAACCAAACAAAGGAGTACATACACCACATAACTAGGAACACAATCAAATAATGGACACTTAACAACGAGGATGCATTATTTTAGTTCATTGTGTGAGGCTGCCCATGCAAAAAAAAACCCATTCACCCGCAGCATTTTTAAGCAAATGAAAAAAAAAGATATTTATATTCGTAGAGGTTGTCATTTTTATTAAAAACATGTTGCAAAATATTAACAAAAAAAAAGAGAATAAAAAAAAATACTAACACGATAACACGATTTCAAACAAAAAAACAAAAAAAAGTGATTTTAATTATTATCCAGGGTAGTTAGTATAATGACCCAGGTACTTATATTTACAACTTTTACATTTTAAATAAAATAATGTATTACAAGCGAGGAATATTAATTCTAATTACTTTTCCACTGTCTGAAGAATGACTTTTGAGATGAAAATCCTTTACGAAAGATACTTAAAAAATGTTCCATTTAACATAACCTGTTTCGACATAAACTGTTCTTAAGTTGATATATTCATTTCTGTACGCAGTGGTTTCCAACCTTTTTTTGACGAAGAACCACTATGATACTTTTGTTTTTAGTAGGAGCTATATTATTTTAATCTCTAGTATAATGTATAATGAATTGTATAAGTGTACCATATATATGGGCTATAAGATATGTTTATTATTACCTCTAATTTTTTTGTGCTTATTTTGTAATAAGTAAGGTCTCAGTGGACAAACTACAAACTATTTATCCATACCTGTTAAATGTTATTTACGCATAATTTTTAACCATGTCGTGGACCACCATTTGGGAATCACTGCTTTAACCAGTATAAATAGAGCAATAATCTAAAAATATCCATTTCCGGTTGCCTATTTATTTGACAAATATTTTTGCTATTCGAATCAAACTTACAATTCTGCAAACAAGAAATGGTTACTAATGACCAGATGTTGCCAATAAGCAAGTAGGGGGGTTGAGCAATATTAAATGCAATTCGTGAATTTTAGCTATAGTGAAATTTCCTATTTCTGTGGGAAAGCACTGATTTCCCGTAGTACGATAAATGGAAATTATTTCGGCAATTTTAATGCTTAATTGATCTTAAAATATTACATAGAATATGCTTCAGGATTATATGATCCATTTTATGATCAATTAACATAGATTTTGCAATCCCAAAAAAGAAAGGGTATTAGTCATAACCTTTTCAGCAGTTGACGCCAGTTTATTTCTTTTCGAAACTCTTTCTCTTTGATAAGTCCTTATAAGTCTATAAGTTTTTATAAGTCTATTGTGTACACTATTTTATGATCTTCGTCGTGGTAGACCTAAGTTTCACTAAACAGTTGTAAATTTACACCGTGTTTAATTTAACCTGTCGAAAAGAGAGTTTTAGAGCGATTTAAACGATTAAACGATGTTTAAGGGATTTTGCTTTTGATAGGA